GTTTTTTGTAAATGACGATATTTGCGTTCTGGATATATCTTGAATCTTTAATATCGGGAATGAAAACGCAAGTAAACAACGATCTGTAAGATAACATGCCATTCTATGAATAGCTATATGGTGTCATCCAATATCTAAAGCTACGTGCAAAATATGTGATTAAGGATGAATACTGAAAATGTAGATTTGCATTTTAACATGTTTAAATAACAAATTTTAAATAACTCAATACCTTCTTGTTAATTATTCTTTAAAAACATTTTTTTTTAAAATAACGCTTTTTATTTCTGTCGATGACGCAATCTGTGCGTACCTGGTAAGAATCGTGATCACGTGACGAAAACAATCCCGTCTTTTGTCAGCACCATATGCCAAGGGTTTATGAGGAGAGTAGCGTATCAGAAACCCTTGGTTAGCGAAGATGCCACAGCCACCCTACAGTCCTGACCTAGCTCCATGTGATTTTTGGTTGAATGCCGTTATCAAAGAAGCCCTCCGAGGATGGCGATTTGAAAGTCGTCATGCAGTCGGAAATGCTGTATTCCAGTGTATGAAGCGTATACCGAAAGAGGACTATAGGGCAGTATTTTCCATGTGGATTTCAAGACTGAAAAAGTGTGTCCAGGTCAACGGAGACTATTTTGAGGGATTGATATAATTTAATTTATGATAATGATGCTCATTAATTAACCGCACACCATTTGCCAGAACTTTTGAAATGCCCCTCGTATTATTGAATTTTTTTTAATTGAATCAAGAATCAGGTGAAAATGTAAAATGTAAATATAAGGAATAACTGTCTGGTTTTATGATGATGATCAATCAATTTGCTCATTTGATAATTTTACGCTTAAATGCCTTTGGCATTTATGCAAATTATCACGCGAGCAAATTGATTGATCACACCATAAAACCAAAAAGCTAGACAGTTATTCCTTAAATGCATATACTTTGGCCTTGTATTTGAAAGGTTTTGCAATGTTCTTTAATGTTAGTAGCAAACACAGGTGGTTGGGGATGGAACCCCCCCCCCCCCTCATTCCGTACCCCAAGGATTCTTTTGACTTTTCTATGTAAAATTGTTAATTGTTTTTTAATGACACATTCCCAAAGTATTACATGTACAATTGAAAAATCCAGAATATAACTTAAAACTAGCCTTTTATGAAAATTCATACTCTCTGATATTATAAGAGAGCAGGGTTGGCACTTTTGACAGCCGACTTGCAACACCTCCATGGGAAATCCGCAAAAAATAAAGGTGAAATCTACTTACCGACTGGAAGTAAAGGTTCCCATGTCATCCGAGATTATTAATGAATTGATACGTTGCTAATTTGTGTGCAATTGTAATTCCAGACCTGAGATTTTTAATGTTTTACACCTGTGACTTCTCATTTCAATTGTAAATGAACCGAAATTGTCATTTTTACTATTTCTATAAGGGGAAAACCCATTTTTTGTTTCTTGAAAAAAGATACACACAAAAATTAATGGTTTTTTAGAATAGACTTAAAAAAAGCTTAAAAAAACACTCTGTATATTCAAAACAGGTTTATATTGCATAAATTCATTAAAATATGCTTTCAATTATAGAAAATGAAAGTCTAAAGTAAGGAGGAAGGGAGGGAGGGATAGTGGAGGTGGTATTAAGTTATATTCTGGAATTTTCAATTGTAATAATTTTTTAATGTGTCATAGAAACAGGCCTGTAGGAAGCAATTTCAGTTTGGGGGGGTGGGGGGGGGGTGGGGGGGGGCATAGCCATACATTTTCAGTTGAGGGGGCACTATCAACTACCAAAAATTCCTTGACAAGCAAAAATTAAAAAAAAAATCATCAGACATTTATTGAGGGAACACAAGCATATAGTGGCTATGTTTTCTATAGTAATCTATATATCGGCAAAATTATTGGGGGGGGCATGCCCCCCCCCCCAGTTCCTACGGCCATGAGAAAACTATTTTATGTAGAAAAGTCGAAGAATCCTTGGGGTATGCAACAGGAGGGGGAGGGGGTTCCCGTCCCCAAGCACCTGTGATGACAATTAATGTAATGATCAAAACTCTGCATATTTGAACATAGCAATCCCAAGAGATCAACATACACTCACACAATATATTTTAATCCCCCTAGTACATGTGTATGAGGATTGATGTTTTCCTGGAAAAAAATATACACTGTACATGTAGTTATCTGATTCTTGTTCTTTGACTGGCATAATTACATTACACATGTATAATTAATTCGTTTTGTATTATCCCAAATTACCCCTGATAACAATCTTGTTATATTGGAAGCTATTTTGCAATACTGTATACGGGGTTATTTTCGTCCTGTGTTATTTTCGCCCTTTTGCACTTGCAAACAATTTTGCCCTGTTTTAAATTCACCCAGTCACAGTTCTGTTTAAGAAATGATACTGTGTATTTTGAATTCGCCCCGTTTTAAAATCGCCCGCCTGTGATTAGGGCGAAAGGGCCGAAAATAAAACGGGGGCGAAAATTTCCCTGTATTACAAACTTTGATTTGTCAAAACAACTCTCAGATAATTCTTAACACCTGCACTAATAATTTATTGTTACACAGCCTACTGTGCATGCCATCTGCATTGTGTATGTTGATCCAGACTTGAGTTGATAACTAGAAGTTACAAACTTTATTACAAACCAAATCTGGAAATCAGTAGATTTTCGGGTTGTATGGCAAAAATCTAGTGAAAAGCATGACTAGGCATGTCATAAAAAATAATCTGGTAATGAGTATGAAATTGGGTGTTTTTATGCATTCTTTAATATTTTTCGAATATTTTCATACTTTGTGATTAATACAATTAATACAAGAAGTCGTAGGCAGTGTTCATAACTTTGTAAACATTCAGTCAATCCTAATCAAATTTTGCATAGCTATAATTTATTCAATGTTCCTTAAAATAGTGAATTTTTAAATACTGGTAAATATCTTTCATAGTACATGTAATAATATTATGACAAATTATAGGAAGGCTGATATGGTCTGTCGGCGCACGAACAAAATCCAGAATAAATTACGTATCTAACTATTCCTATTGCAATTGTTTCTCTGGCAATAATTAGCTGCAGAACTGTAGCGTTATGGTTTTATATTTTAGTCTTTGACCATAACACTACAGATCCCTTAATGTAAATAAAATGCAATTTATGGCGCAAGATTTTCTGCACAATTTGGGGATGTATTTCGCCACTTTCCAGCATTGGTCAATCAACGACCTTTCATCTCCTAATTCTAGACATATTTTATAACCAACCTGTATATTTTATCCACCTCCTAACCCTTTATAGTCGTCTGTACAGACCGATAAACTTGCTTGTTGTGAATTTGATGTCGGATGGCATAACAGAACAGAAAATTTTTCGCTGTAAATTGCACTTTATTTACATTAATAAGGGATCTGTAGTGTTATGGTTGAAGACTAAAATATAAAAACATAACACTACAGTTCTGCAGCTATGACAGTATGTAAAACATAATTAAATCTCAAATTTCTCAAATAATTTCTTGCGACAATAAGTACTTAAATGTTAGTAGAGAAGTTGTTTATAAAATGGCATAAGAGATTCAAGGACAGTTTTCACCTCTGCACCGAAAATAGTTAGGCCTATAAGTAGAGTTCTGTTTGTTAAATTCAGATGGTAAGGAATGCTGTGGGTCATGACCCTAATGTAGATTTTCCAAAGGGTTTGGAAAAGTTTTGGAATTCCATGGAATTCCAAACATTTCCATACAAGAGTCTAAAAGTGTTTTTGGAAGTTTTTGGAATCTTTTGGAATTTGAATAACAAATTTGGACTTAGACATTTTGAGGTTTGGAAAGTTGTGGAATTCTATGGAAAAGCTGATAAAATGAGAAACTTAGACATTTTTATTTCTGCTCTGGAAAGCTGTGGAAAATAACTTAGAATTTTTTCTTAAACTGTCGGCTCATAGTACAATTACGTCGGGATCGATGTCGGGCTCGATGAACAATTAATTTAAACTACAGCCCGCCAAAATTCAACAATTCGGCTGCCATGTTGTATTGTTGGACAGAAGGAAAGAGAGTGTCACAAAGAAGGGAACTGCTGTCATTATTAGCTTGGAATGGAATTTGTATTTTGACAAAAGATGCAGACATTTTAAGACCCGGTAGGTACAATGTACAGTAATCAGTATTTTATGTGTTCTTGAAGTTGAATGGATAATTGACTGTTCCGACAGTCTGGGCACCACACACATAGAATGCCCGACGATGAAACCATTAGGGCGAGTTTCATTTCTTTAGTAATTATTGTACAACTCTAAACATCTCTTATCAAAATATGTTTGAACAATGTGTGGATTTCAACCCGAATTTCCTCCGTTCGTACATGTCCTTAGACCCCGCTATATATGCTAGTGGCACGTTGCCAATTGCGCCACGACAGTCCATGTTACATCGTACACAGACATCATAACACTATTAGTGTCTCCAATATGTTGCAACATGCAACATCTAAATTGGCTATCTTTACCATGTTTACAACAAAGAAAAAACGTGTAGACGGTGGTAGACTAATAATGCTCTATAAGCTGTCTATATGATATAAAGTTGTGCACAACTTAGTTGCAGTAGACCCAAGCCTCTATTTAGTTTCACAGACTACCACCAACAAAGGCATTTCAAGTCTTCCTTACTTTCAGACCTTTAGTACTTGCACAGATAATTTAAATATAGTCCCCCCCCCCCCCCCCATTATGGAAATTTATTTCTCTTCCATGCTCAGTGGTGTCGGCAGCCTCTTTGGGGCCAGTTCAGAACTCTGGTCCGAATTATTAGCTAATAACATTCCTTAGTACATGTACTACTTACATTTACAGAGTACATTGTAAATAATTGTATCTATTTTTTAATGCATGTTCATGATCATTCACAGCACTTACTTTTATTATTTTATAGCTGAAGAACTCGATTTGCACAGCGCCGGCATATAATCATCAAGTTTTATGAAATGTCCTAATATGTAGATGTAGATGCTAAGTCATTCAGTCACCTAGCTTGTGAGAATGGTGAGAGCCTGCTCAAATTATCATTCAGCACAAATAAACTAACATTGTTTTTATTAATTAATGTTTTATAGCGTAAGATTTTTTTTATTGAGCAAGTAACAAGAGGTTTATATTCTTAATTCCTTAATAATGCATAACAATTATAACTTTTGACAGGTAATCTAAACATGCTAAATGCTACATGCATAATCATTTTACATTTTATTTAAGTATAAATATTAAAAATGACTATACTCTATGACATAAAATCATGCATGCATTATTTACAGGAATGCTCACAAAAAGGACAAGAGCGAGAGAGCTGTATGGAAATTTACACAAAGGTAAGATTTTTTAATCATTTACCTAATCAGTAAAATCAAAAGAATTGAAATTATGTGTTTATCAATGTTAGCCAGGCATTGAGAAAAGTTATTATGAACCTTAGACTCCACTCTTTCAAATATATTTTAGTTATTTTAAGAAGTTGCTTTTAACTTGTTTCCTATGTCAGTTCTCTGTCCTGTTCACAAGTTTTTACCTACGCCTTGTCAATGTCATTCATCATATTCTTACACAAACCTATAACCTTAGTCGCAGATATAAATTTCCAGAAATAAAGAAGTACATGTATACATGTACTAATATATTATCTTACTCAATTCTGAATTGTTGAGGCATGGAAGTTACATGTATTTATAACAGTTTATTTAATATTTTCTTAATTTTTCAAAAATAAAGTATATGTACATGTACATGTATTTGCACGTTTGAAGCCTAGAACAAATGTATTCTATATATTCACTTTATGTTATTTGCTTTGTCTATATTTTTGTTACATTGTAAATTAACCAATGTGCATTTAAAGCAATTACATATGCCTATAAATTCGTCTTTTCATCTTTTCAAGGGTCAGTTAACGGAGTAAGCTGATATGGAGGATAATATATCAAAGGCAGCATAGGCGTCCAAACTCATGTTCAAGGTGCTTTTAATCAGAAGCTTAAGAGACAAAAGACGAGCCATTGACAAGGCAAAACTGAATGTTTTATATGGTATATAAATTATATTTACTAATGTACTTTTTTTCATACCTTAACTTTATTTGCTGAATGTTTTTAAGGGTACATAGTTTATATAATTTACAATGTTCTCTCTCATATTCAAGGTTAATTTACTTAGACACAATCATGTCTCTTTATTTTTTTTTAATTTCACAACTTCCATTAGTTTAAAAAGAAATCAATCCTAATCTGAACAAAAAATTACAAGATAATAAATTCCTATTCTACAGTATTAAACTGATCTGCCAGGTTGAAAGAACCAATTGTCTTATATAGCTTTAGTTTATTATTTGTCATATATTTATACATGAGATAGATATACATCTTTATGGTAATCTTTTCTTTCAGAAATTGAGCAAGAAAAGTTTGAAGTGTCTTTGGGAATGATCAACATCAAACTTGCTGAGCTTTTGAAGCCGTCGTACCAAAAGTGAATCCATTCGTGACACCAATTATCTGACCACCCTCTAACAGAACCAGTGAGGAAGTGATTCTAGCCAATACTTCAGAAGTTTAGGACCCTCAATAATTAGGATCTTGGGGCATGTTGGAGAAAAAAATAGCATGTGTTGATTTTCTGGGATCTTTCAAATATAGTTGTGTAGTAGATATTTGTGTACTTAATACATATGTTTGTCACTCTAGTCATTAACTTTGTATGGTAAATGTATATGGACCACTGGAAGATCATTGTAACTGTATACAAATGTTGCAAATATACCCTGTTAAGGCTTTAGTGACCTTTCCCAAGGTCATTCAATGAAGCAAAAGGTCATAATTAATGTTTTTTTTAAAATCTATTTTGTTTTATTATTAAAAAATGTCATATGTTTGAGATTACTCTAGGTACAAAGGATTTTCTTTAACCAAAAGTCATTTGTTTCTCATGCAGACCGTAATTTACTACATGTACATGCATGTATATTATAATAATTCTCATTAATTAAACCAAGGTGATCATCCAGTAATGATATTTTTCTGTGGATTTTTAACATTGTTTAAATAATCTTTGATGTAAAATACTTTCATTGATAATACTTTTTAAAATTTGTGCTTTCATTATACATAGAAGTGTGTATGCAATATTTGTCCCCAAACACATTGTAAAGCAAAAATGATTTTTTATTTTGAAAATATAGATTTGATTTATGAAAAATTGTGATGTAGTCATTTTTTTTTTGTAATTATTTGGCCCTTAAATTATTTTGATTATTCCAGTTTTTGTATTTTCCTGGAATTCCTTGGATTTCCGTGGAATTCCATAGATTTCCAAATATCCTGGAATTCCATGGATTTCCAGCTATTTCCGCAAATTTCTATTCTGGCATTGTTCCGCTCTTTTCCAGGCTAGATTTGAAATTCCATACCATTCCAAAAAAGTTCCGTCCCAATACTCTCGAGAATTCCTCGGAATTCCATGGAACACTTTTTCCATGGAATTCCACGGAATTTGTTATGGAATTCCACGGATCTTACGGAAAATCTACATTAGGGGATGGATGTCAAACTTTGTGTATTCTCTGCTTCTTACAATTTAAAGCAACCATTCCAGGTCTGAAATTTGAATCTGATCAGGCGCGTAGCCAGAATAGAAATGATGTGTACGCAGAGAATGGCAGGGGGTTGTGAGGGGGTTTGGGGGTCTTGAACCCCCCCCCCCCCCCCCCCCCCCCCCGTGTTTAAGACCGCTCTGATCAGGCACGTAATATAGCTTTTGCCAGCCAGGAAAAAATTACAACTTTAGAAATTTTGTCAAGCAAGGACGAAAAAGGAAGACTGTCAAAATTCGAAGTCCTATTTCTTGTGTGTGTGTGTTGAAGGGGGGGGGGGTGTCCATCTTTCACAAATCAATTTTTTATTAATACATTACCAAATTACCATGATTTAACAATGGTGCAACTAACAGTGGGGGTCCACCCTTTCAATGTACATTTTTTCAATAGTAAAAGGTTAGACTTTGGGAATAAATAGTGGGGAGGCTCCCCTGATACTACGTGCTTGCTGGTGAGCTCCGGAGTTTCACCAAATATTTCATTCATTTTCTTGAAATATAAAAATTATGCCATTGAGTGTTTGTTTAGGGAAAAAAAGGCATAGTAATATTTATTGTTTTAACGAAAAATTAATATTTCATGGAAACTTATTGTACATATAATTGAGGCTAAAATTTAACCGATATATTAATTGGTATCATATAATCATTCTTAACGTTTAAGAACACGTATACAAAATTATAATTATGAACAAAAAATATCGTATTGTAAATCATACTAGTAGATCATAGCATTCAACGATGTGGCTGAAATTTATTTTTTCTAAGTTCTTTTAAAAAAAAATATCAATGTATGATAGAACAATGACAAAATAATGAATGATTTATTTGGATTTGTCAGTTATTAAATAAAAGATTTCAAATTTTATCATACAGCCATGATAATTTAAAATTTAAATCGACACAGTATGACACAGAATAATTTGAAACACGAATATTTGTTGGATGGTACTGAGATTTTTTTCTCCGAATAATTCTCTTTCTTTTCTTATCTTTTTTTTCTGAAAATGATGTGTACGGACTTGCATATATATAGGCAGCTATGCGCCTGAATTCATTTGGATTTGTCAGTTATTAAATAAAAGATTTCAAATTTTATCATACAGCCATGATAATTTGAAATTTAAATCGACACAGTATGACACAGAATAATTTGAAACACGAATATATGTTGGATGGTACTGAGATTTTTTTTCTCCGAATAATTCTCTCTTTTTTCTTATCTTTTTTTCTTTTTTTCTGAAAGTGATGTGTACGCACTTGCGTATTTGCGTATAGGCAGCTACGCGCCTGCTGATAAAAAATTATGGACAGTGGTGAATTTTAATGATCCCTCAGTCAAGAGTGGTTTGCCAGTTTGAAAAAAATGAGATGCTTAAGATACACATGTTAAGCACACTGGCATCCATTATAAAAGTGATAAAAACAGCTTTGGGGCTCTGGGCTCAAGAAAATTAACACACTTGTATTTACATTTTTACCGAGTACCTGTGTACTCGATTAGAAAATTGTCTGAGTAACCGATTATCAGATATTGACAGATTTGACATCCCTACTAGTATATTTTAAGGAATTCGCTATATTGATATAATGAGCTACTGTAACAGATATAGTGATATAAATTTGCAGAATCCAAGAACTCTGCTATAACAGAGTTTTAATCTAGATGTATTTCGTTGCAGAGCAAGAATGTTGGATGTTGAAGACAAAAAAATAGAGTTAGGTCATTGAAAGATTTTGTCAGCGTTTCTAATGGCAACCAATGCATCTGATATTGATGAGACGAGTAATAAGTTTGGGAACTCACTAAGTAAGTAACATAGTAACCTATGTACAAATGATGTAAATCTCATGTTGAATCCATAGTCATGATAATTGCAGATAGTTTTTAGCTCACATGAGCCAAAGACTCAAGTGAACTTTTCTGAGCAAAGTTTGTCTATTGTACAGTTGTTCTCATAAATTAACTTTTTACATTTTCATCCTCTCCAGAACCACTGGGCAAATTTCAACCAAACTTGCCACAAAGCATTCTTGGGTGAAGAGAATTCAAATTTGTTCAAATGAATGGCCATCCCCTCTTTCATGGGGAGATAATTAAGAATAAGTGAAAATTTCTTGGTATCTTTGAAAAATCTTATCAAGAACTACTGAGCCAGAAAAGTTGAAACTTACTTGAAGGCTTCATTACATGGTGCCTGAGGATAATAGTTCCTGTCAAGGGTATGATGAAAGTGCACTCACAGCTAGTAGATGATAATTTAATTACTGTGGTTCCATCATTATTCGTGGAACACCAATTTTTGTGGATTTCGTTGTTGAGTTGATCCACGAAATCAAATGTTCATCGAAGTTTGGTGCCTCCACTTTGATTTATGATAAACCTTTAAAAAGCCTATTACGACTTTCGTTAATATACGCCATACGCCCCCCCCCCCCTTTTTCCAACAGGTTGGCTTTATTTTATCATTTTTAAGAATATTTAATGAAAAGAAGAAATATTAGAAAATTATCTGAAAATTTTCATTCAATTTGTATAAGTATTCTACATGGAGGTAAACAACACGTAGAACTGTCAACGTGGTGCATATACCAATCAGTGGTATATTAACACAAAGGATGATAGATAATCAGGTGTTAATGTGTAAATTCGTTATTCTCAAACAATCTAAGGGACCAACACCAATAATCACCTGCACAATGAAAACACAAATTTTCGTAAAATAAAAAATCCAGTAGAAATAATTAATTACTCTCTGTTCTTAACTTGCTTAAATCATGCAAATTATATTATTAAATCAAAGTCTATTTTAATTAATTTTTTTTAATAATCGGTTTCCATATTCGATATTTAATTTGCCAACCGAGATCAAAGTCTTTCAATGGAGACGGTATTGGGAATTCCTCACCCTTTATTATTACATGTATATACAATGTATACTGCGTTGTAAACACTTGAAGATTCCGACTTTTAAAAATACAGTTGAGTAAAATATAAATACTTTAAGTTTAAGAGTTCACCTGTTAGTAACTGTTCTCTTTACGTTGTAAGTGGAGTGAAGATTCACGCTGAAGCTTACAGAGATTAAATAAAATGAAAAGGTGACAATTTTATTTTGTTGTATGATCAGTATCCACGAATTTACGTATTCTCGAAACAGTGATATTAACTAAATACTAAATCCACGAAAATTGATGCCAACGAATATTAATAAAACCACAGTATACCGATGTATATTATAATTAATGAAGGTTGGATAGCTCATTTTATATCCAGGGATATAGCTTTGTGGAACTTTTCATGCATTGTTAGAGGCATCATAAACCAATCATATTGCATATTTAGTCACAACTTTCT